AAGAAACAGAAAATCTAAACAGACCAATTACCAGCAAAGAAATTGAATTGCTAATCAAAAAAGTACCCAAGAACAAAACCCCTGGGCCATATGGATTCACCACTGGATTTTATCAGACATACAGAGAAGACATAACACCCATTCTCCTTAAAGTTTTCCAAAAAATAGAAGAGTAGGGAATACTTCCAAACTCATTCTATGAAGCCAGCATCACTCTAGTACCAAAACCAGGCAAAGACCCCACACAAAAAGAAAATTACAGACCAATGTCCCTGATAAACATAGATGCAAAAATACTCAACAAAATATTAACAAACTGAATTAAAAAATACATCAAGAGGATCATACACCATGATCAAGTGGGATTCACCTCAGGGATGCAAGGATGGTACAACATTCGAAAATCCATCAACATCATCCACCACATCAACAAAAAGGACAGAAACCACATGATCATTTCCATAGATGCTGAAAAAGCATTCGACAAAATTCAACATCCATTCATGATAAAAACTCTCAACAAAATGGGTATAGAGGGCAAATACCTCAACATAATAAAAGCCATATATGACAAACCCATAGCCACCATATACTTAACAGCGAGAAGCCGAAAGCTTTTCCTTTAAGATCGGGAACAAGACAGGAATGCCCACTCTCCCCACTTTTATTCAACATAGTACTGGAGGTCCTAGCCACGGCACTCAGACAAAAGAAAGATATATAAGACATCCAGATTGGCAAGGAGGAAGTCAAACTGTCCCTGTTTGCAGGTGACATGATATTGTATATAAAAAACCCTAAAGACTCCACTCCAAAACTACTAGATCTAATATCTGAATTCAGCAAAAGTTGCAGGAAACAAAATTAAAAAACAGAAATCTGTTGCATTCCTATACACTAACAATGAACTAGCAGAAAGAGAAATCAGGAAAACAATTCCATTCACAATTGCATCAAAAAGAATAAAATACCTAAGAAAAAACCCAACCAAGGAAGTGAAAGACCTATACCCTGAAAAGTACAAGACACTCTTAAGAGAAATTAAAGAGGACACTAATAAATGGAAATTCATCCCATGCTCTTGGCTAGAAAGAATTAATATTGTCAAAATGGCCATCCTGACTAAAGCAATCTACAGAGTCAATGCAATCCCTATCAAAATACCAACAACATTCTTCAATGAACTAGAGCAAATAGTTCTAAAATTCATATGGAATGACAAAAGACCCTGAATAGGCAAAGCAATCCTGAGAAGGAAGAGTAAAGCAGGGGGAATTATGCTCCCTGACTTCAAGCTCTACTACAAAGCCACAGTAATCAATAAAATTTGGTACTGGCACAAGAACAGACCCACAGACCAGTGGAACACAATAGAGAACCCAGATATAAACCCAAGCATATATGGTCAATCAACACACAATAAAGGAGCCATGGATACACAATGGGGAATTGACAGCCTCTTCAACAGCTGGTGGTGGCAAAACTGGACAGCTACATATAAGAGAATGAAACTGGACTACTGTCTAACCCCAAACACAAAATGGATCAAAGACCTGAATTTAAGTCATGAAACCATAAAACTATTAGAAAAAATATAGGCAAAAATCTCTTAAACATAAACATGAGCAACTTCTTCATGAACATATCTCCATGGGCCAGGGAAACAAAAGCAAAAGTGAACAAGTGGGACTATATCAAACTAAAAAGCTTCTGTACAGCAAAGGACACCATCAGTGTCAGTGGAATAAAAAGACATCCTACAGTATGGGAGAGTATATTCATAAATGACAGATCCGATAAGGGGTTGACATCCAAATTATATAAGAGTTCAAGCACCTCAACAAACAAAAAGCAAATAAGCCAATTAAAAAATGGGCAGAGGATCTGAACAGACACTTCTCCAAGGAAGAAATTCAGTTGGCCAACAAGCACATGAAAAGATGCTTAACATCACTAATCATCAGAGAATGAAAATTAAAACCACAATGAGATATCACCTCACACCAGTTACGATGGCCACCATCTGAAAGACAAACAACAACAGATGTTGGCGAGGATGTGGAGAATAGGGAACCCTCCTGCACTGCTGGTGGGAATGTAAACTAGTTCAACCATTGTGGAAAGCAGTATGGAGGTTCCTCAAAAAACTCAAAATAGAAAATACCATTTGACCCAGGAATTCCACTCCTAGGAATTTGACCTAAGAATGCAGCAGCCCAGTTTGAAAAAGACATATACACTCCTATGTTTATTGCAGCACTATTTACAATAGCCAAGAAATGGAAACAACCTGTCTATCAGTGGATGAATGGATAAAGAAGATGTGGTACATATACTCAATGGAATATTATTCAGCCATAAGAAGAAAACAAATCCTATCATTTGCAACAACATGGATGGAGCTAGAGGGTATTATGCTCAGTGAAATAAGACAGGCAGAGAAAGACAGGTATCAAATGATTTCACTCAGCTGTGGAGTATAAGAACAAAGACAAAAACTGAGGAACAAAACAGCAGCAGACTCACAGAACCCAAGAACGGCCTAAAGTTACCAAAGGGAAAGGGACTGGGGAGGATGGCTGGGAAGGGAGGGATAAGGGGAAAAAGGGGGCATTACAATTAGCATACGTAAGGTAGCAGGGGGGACATGGGAAAGGCAGTATATACAGAGACGACAATTAATGATTCTATAGCATCTTACTACACTGATGGACAGTGACTGGAATGGGGTATGTGGGGGGGACTTGATAATTGGGGAGTCTAGTAACCATATTGTTGTTCAAGTAATTGTACATTAATGATATCAAAAAAGAAAATAAATCACCATTGAAGGAGTCTGTGATCTTATTATTTTGAAAACTGTTAAACAGAAAGAAGGATTCAAGCATTTGATGTGCTTCCATACACACTTCACCAATGGAGAATCAAATAACAGATGAAGTTTCCCATTATAGAGATATTCTAGTTAATAAAGGAATAATATCTCCATTTTGCAACACGTGACCAGTTAATCTAATCAACTAATGATTTAAAAAGGTTGTCAAAATTCAAAAGGAGATACAACCAGACAGAAGAATACACCATTTTGACCAAAAACAGAAAATACAGAGAACCAAAAACATAATAACAGGCATTATGGGAATACAATCAGCAAAATCCACATTGTGTAAAACCATAGGTCAAATGACCAATTTCTTTGACAAATAAATTTCACAGGGAAAAAGGAGGTGGAAGAAAATGTTTAGATTAAAAGAGACTTTTGAGTCAAATCAACCAATCTCAATGTATGAACTTCATTTGGATCTTGATTCATAGAAACCCTAAATTTAAAAATTATACAGACCCTAAATTTAAAAATTATTAGACAATTGGAAATTTAAACACTGACTGGATATTTGATCTTAAATAATTATTGAATTTTTGTGTGTGATGATGATATTGTGATAGTGGTTTTTAAGAAAGCTTATAGAGCTTCACATTGTTACATTTACAGATGAAATAAAAGAATGCCTGGGATTTAATCCAACATAAATTAGGAAAGAGGGAAAGGGGTGGGATTTAGGTGAAACAAGACTCATCAGTACATAACTGTTGAAACTGGATGGTGGACACTTGGGTCTATTATATGAATCTTTTACCTTTTGCACATGTTTGAACTTCTCCATACTAAAATTATTTTTTAATAATCAACTAACAGTATGAAACAAAACCTATGTAGTCTTTTCTATAATACAGCTAACTGTGTGAGAATCATTTTTGATTCCTGCTACCCCCTCAATCCCCAAATCCTGCCATTCTACCTCTTGATCGCCACTTCTTTAAATCTGGCCTATGAGTAGTGCACTACTAACTTTGCCTTACATTTAAAACTGTAGCCAGAGTGTTTAAAAATACACACATTTAATCATACCCCACCCACCCCTGGCTTAACATCCACTAATGGTTTCTTATGGATTATAGGATAAAGTCTGAAATCTTCAATATGCCCTGTAAGGCCTTGCAGGATCTATTCTGTATACCTCACCAGCTCAGTCTCGAGATGCTCTCGCTTGCCCTTCTATACGCCAGCTACTTCTTGAACTTGCCATGCCCATTCTCAATTCAGAGTATTCCCACATGCTGTGCCCTCTGCCTGGATGCCACTTTCCCCTTACACACACCTTCATACTTCAGATCTTACCTTAAATGCTCCTTTCTCAGAGTAGCTTCCCCATTATTCTTGGTCTACATAAGTTGAAATTTCTTACACCTTCATAACAACTTGTCACAACTGAAATTTAAAAATTGTTGAAGCTATTTGTTCAATGTGTATATTTCCTGCTATAATACAATCTCAAAGACAGAACTAGATCTTACTGTATCCCCAAAGCCTAGCATTTTGTCCTATACATAGTAAAAGGTTAATATCTTTATAAATGACTGGCTTGATGAATGAATAAATTATAATTTAAATATAATACTGGTAAAATCAGAATTACCTGCACCATACAGTACTACACAGTTTACCCGAATGGTGTTAGCAATACTCCCAAATAAAAGATTTGCAAAGCTTCAATGTACGTGCATGTAAACAAACAAAAAGAGGAAATAAGTGAGGATGACTTCATTACAAATCCAAGTTACAGTGCTTCACTGGTTAAGTGCTACTAGGTTCCCCAAAGGTACTCAACAACACAGCAGCAGGGATGTATCTTTATATCTTTACGTCATCCACCTTTCAAAGGAGGCACACATATATCCAAAGTAGTTCTGATTTAAGCTCCAACTATGCTATTCAGACGGAAAACTCAGATTCTCTGAAACAATTGAAAATCACATATCCTCAAATTTTACATTAATATGCAACTATTTAAAATCAGTTACATAGATTGCAGTTTAACTCATAAAATGGATGAACTTAATATATCCAAGTAAAAGCAAAGATTAAAGATTTTAAAAATTAGATCTTCAAAACTTTTAAAATAATTAATGAGAAAATCTACAAACTCTTGAACCAAACTTTTATTTTAAACGATTAGGCTTTTAGTGCATATGAACATTTTTCATAACACATAACATGTAAAGATGTTAGCACAATGAACTAGAATAGAAGATATATTTATACAGCTTTTGAATCTCTATTATGCTTATTTCTCCTCTGAAATAAATACACAGTTTGCTTCAACTTTGTCATGGTATATCAAAGATTTTTATATTATTTTTTAATAACTTCTTAATAAGGTTTTGAGTTTCTACTTGGTTTACACAATATTTTTTGCAATGTATTGAATACTACAGTAGCTTTTTCTTGCATCTTTGATGGAACATATTTTGTATCTAAATATTCAGATAATTTAGATCTAGAATTATATAGCATGTTAATAACAGTTTCCATGTCATCAATTTCACCACTGCTTCCTCCAAGTGGTAACATCTGGGATTTATACATTGTTTCTAATTTATGCACTGTGGCTGCTGCTAGAGCAAGCCTTCTCTTTAAGTGTTCTCTAGAGGCTTGAATGTCAGCCCTATATTCTGGCTTCAGGCTTTCAGCAAGAGGCAGCTGTTGTACCTGTGAATTAATATCTGAAAATGTTTTCAAAATGTCCTCGTGGTCTTCATATTCGCCTGAGAGCTGAGGAACATCTGGTTCTAGGGAGGTGTCCCACTCAGTGCTTCTACCTGTAGGTAATTCAGTAACATGGGGCAATGACTTTGGTGCCTCAGTTTGTATTAAAGGTGGCTCTGGCTCTGGCTCTGGCTCTGGCTCTGGCCCTGGCTCTTCTTTTTCAATATCAGGTTCTTTTGTATGTAAAACAACAGAAACATTGTAGGGTTTAATAGCCCAGAATGCTGTACTTTTAGTGTGTTTTTTACTCTTCATTCCCAGTGTGAAGTCTCTAGGAGGGAAAGTTGTCATTTCCTCATTGATAGGATTGATTAAAACATTATTCTCACTTGAAGTTTCTCCTTGTGTAGGTTTCTTCTTAACTTTTGATCCCCTCAGCCCTATAGAATAAACATTAGTTGGAAACTTGGATTTTTTCTCATGACTTGTCTCCCTAGTGGGAACACTTAGTATTAGGTTCTGTAAAACTTGTACATAGTGATTCAAGTTTTGTTCTTCGTCAGGCATCAGAGTTATGCCTTGAGGAAAAAAAAATCAAACAATAAGTAACATTTAACATTGTATATGACATTTGGCAGAACCTACTGACCTAAATTTACTCCATATGCTATCACTTAAAAACTGAGACAAATAAACCAAGATAATACAGCTCCTTTGACTCAGACAACTCACTTAAAGAAACAAAATTATTTTTTCAGATTCTTATTAAAGCAGATGAGTAAGATTCGTGCAAAAGTTGCATACTAACACAATTTTCTATATCATTTTGCTTTTATTTTGTCATATAACTCATGATTCAATAGGCAACTTAATGAAACAAAGTTCTTGATTATGTCCTCCAACATAGTAGTATGCTAGAATAGGCTCACCAGAACTAATTATTAAATTTTTATGAATTTTTGTGAGCCAGATGTTAAAAATAGGTATCACTAAAAATTAAATTATCTGAATTTGCAATTAAATAAACAGTATTCAGAAAAAAAGTAATAAATATTCAAAACTCATAATTTTCTTATTATTTTATTGACTATTTTCTATGTTCTTGAGGTTATTTACATCTAGTGTATCTATATGGTAGAAATGCTATATAATGGTGTGATACTGTATATCTCTACTTCCCTATTCAGTGATATCAAATAGGTATACAGCTTGAAATTGACTCTGGTGGGTGTATTTACACCATGTAAATGGGCAAATGCTATATCAGTTTACTTCTCTCCTAAAAGCCAGTTGTTAAATATTTACCAGTATACCACTGCCTTCAACCCAGCAATGATCTAACTATAGCCTGTAGGTCATAACCATCCAACTGTTTTGTAAATAAAGTGGAACCCAGTCAATCTTACCCATTTGTTTATGTGTTGTCTATGGCTGTTTTGGGCTGTAACAGTAGTTAATTTTTGCAACAGAGACTAGTTGGCCTACAAAGATGAAAATACTTGCTATCTGGCCCTTTACAGAAAAAGCTTGCCAATTCCTGGTCTAAACCACCACATTTCACTCTTACAACAAAATGGCTGTTCTGTTTATACTGGTATTTTCACACCATCTGAGTGGTGAACACTCATTTCCAATGTGGAAAACATAAAAAATTATATAAGATATTCTAAAATTCTGTTCAACTCCCCTACTCTTAAGTCAGGAGTTGTAAATGCTGGAATTTTGTATTACATGTAATTTTTAATTGATTTTGCCACTATCATGGATACAAATTGATTTACTTAAAGGAAATAAGCAACTTTTTACCAAATTCTAATGCCTGACTCCTACCAGAACCCTCCCTCTGCAGGCAAGATGAAATAAACTTTCTGTTCAGGAGGCACTTTTATTTAGCTCTTTGGCAAACACAAAATAGCAAAAAAAAAAAAAATGTTTATATTTTTTGTTTTTTACATGTTTCTGTCACTGGATGCTGATTTTTGGTCTCACAGCAAGAAAGCATTCAAGGAGAGATATAAACATGGATGAGCTTTGGAGGGGGCTCAAGATGGCGTGTGAGTAGGGTGATGGAAATCTCCTCTTAAAACCATATATATATTTTTGAAAATACAACAGACACAACTATTCCTAAAAGAGAGACCAGAAGACACAGTACAACAGTCAGGCTACATCTACATCTCTGAGAACTCAGCATGTCATGAAAAGGGTAAGATACAAGGCGTGACCCGGCAGGACCTCAGCACTCCTCCTACCCAGCTCACCGGCAGGTGGAAAAGAATCAGAGTGGGGAGGGAGTGGAAGCACAGAACTGCTAAATAACCAGCCCTAGTAATCTGCACCAGCAGCACAGACACACATTACATGGTGTACTGGATATTAGAGAAACGGAAAAGTAAAATCCGAGACGGAGACTGCAAGTGGGTCCCCACAGCTGGCTCCCCCGGGACAAAAGAAAAGTGGGCACTTTTAAAAGTCTTTAAGGGACAAGGGCTCAACAGCTGGACAAAAATCGTCCTGGCACACTCAGCCCAGCAGGCTGGGAATCTTGAGGAACTTCAGGCCCCCTAACCTCCTGGGGGTAAAGCAGCCCCAAAGCCCCTCATGATGATAAACAGCCTGCCATTCATTCCCCCCAGCTGGCACTGCACGCAAACCGGCTGACCCGCCACAGCTGCGGAGCAGTCAGAGAACAGCCCCACCCACAGCAACCACACAGAGTCTCCTCCCAGTGTGCAGCTAACCAGGACAGACAGAGGAAGCCAGAGCAAGGTCCGGAAGGCATGAAGGGGTGCCATTCTCACAGGAGAATACACCCAGCGTGTCTGCCACCCCACGCAGTGTGTGCTAGGCTGTCCCAAGGGCCACCCCACCAATGGCAGCTCAGATTATCCCAGAGACTGTTCCGAGTGTGCAAGTAACCAGCACAGGCAGCAGAAGCTGGAGCAAGTTTCGGAAGGCACAAAGGGGCACCATTCTCACAGGAGAACACCCCCAGCATGGCTGCGACCACCCGCAGTGCACTAGGCTATCCCGAGGGCTGCCCCCCAACCATGGCAGCTCAGGAGATTATCCCAGAGACTGCTCGCGGTGTGCAGGTAGACGGCACAGGCAGTGGAGAAAGGCAAGGTGACCAACAAGCAGGAAGGGACTTTGTTCTCCCAGTTGACACATGCGCCACCTGTCTGCGACCACTTCTATCACCATGAAAAGGCAGAAGAATCTGGTCCAGTACACAGACAACCCCAGAAAGAGGGACTGCTGAGATAGATATAACCAATCTTCCTGAAAAAGAATTCAAAATAAAAGTCATAACCATGCTGATGGACCTGCAGAGAAATATGCAAGAGCTAAGGGATGAACTCCAGAGGGAGATAACAGAAATGATACAATCAATAGAAGGTCTTAAAAGCAGACTGGACAAGGTGCAAGAGACTATTAATGGAATAGAAATCAGAGAACAGGAATACAGAGAAACTGAGGCAGAGAGAGAAAAAAGATCTCTAGGAATGAAAGACTATTAAGAGAATGGTGTGACCAATCCAAATGGAACAATATTCACATAATAGGGGTATCAGAAGAAAAGAGAGAAAAAGGGATAGAGAGTGTCTTTGAAGAAATAATTGCTGAAAATTTGCCCAAGCGGGGTAAGGAAATAATCTCTTAGACCTTGGAAACCCACAGATCTCCCAACACAAGGGACCCAAGGAGGAGAACACCAAGACATATAATAATTTAAATGGCAAAGATCAAAGACAAAGACAGAGTATTAAAAGCAGCCAGAGAGAGAAAAAAGATCACCTACAAAGGAAAACCCATCAGGCTATCTTCAGACTTCTCAACAGAAACCTTAAAGGGCAGAAGAGAACGGCATGATATATTTAATGCAATGAAACAGAAGGGCCTTGAACCAAGAATACTGTATCCAGCATGATTATCA